ATTGTGCTACAGCTTCTGTGTGGTTGAGACTCTCCAAACAGAGACATTTTTTGTTAAAATAGGTAGAGGAGAGTTTGGAGAAAGGACTTTCCAAAAGCCTGAACCACGGCTCACTCTCCATCTGCTCCTTGGCTCTTCCCTTATTTTTAAAGATTTATTTATTTTTGCATATAGAACTGGGGTATAGGCCAGAGATGCAGGAGGGTGTGTGTGTATGTGAGGATTCACCAGAGACAGAGTGGGGAGCAGATCAGGCAGATATACTGAAATACACAGCTGAGAGGAGCAGCGGTGAGACAGGAGAGTTCTGCCTACCATGTGGTTCTGCCTACTGTGTGGGTCAGCTCTGTGGTGGGGATCGAACTCATGCTGAAGCCTCTGCTAGGTTTGTAGTGCTGTGCTTCAACCCACTGTGCCACCAGGGAGGGCCCCGAAGTAAACATTTTTAGTGAGTGGGAATTTAGAATATTTTAAATCAGTACAAGGACTATAGTGATATATATTATCAAAACATAGATTTTTATATGGAATCATGTCACATAGCAATAACTAGTGGAATATTTGCTGCATTTCTTGTTAATTTCTCTGAATATGTACCCACTCAAATATATGTGTATATAATGGAGTCATACATATTTTCTTTTTTTTTTTTTAAAGATTTATTTATGCATACAGAACTGGGGTGCAGGCCACAGGTGCAGAGGCAATAAAGGATTCACCAGAGTCAGAGTGGGGAGCAGAACAGGCAGACTGACAAAGTTCACTGCTGAGGGGAGCAGCGGGTGGGTCAGGAGAGTTCTGCTGTGCCATTTGGATACCTCCAGAGCTGGGAGCTGGGAGTTGGGAGCTGGGGATTGAACTTGGACTGAATCAACTGTGGCTCGCTTGCATGCTGTGCTTTAACCTGCTGTACCACCAGTAAGGGCCTGGAGTCACATACATATTTTCTACCTGTGTTTATTCTTCATTTAAACATTCCTAAGCTTTAAGCTGTATTGTTATGTTGCAGTTTTTATCCACTAGTACTTGTCAATATATGACACATACCTGTATGTATATGTGTACACACACACACACACACACAAAGATATGACCTATAAGACAACTACTTAGTGAATTTTTCTGTAAGAGTCTCACCAACATTTACCTTATATTTAAACCCTAAGTGCTCAGGACTTTGTTAATATTTTCTATTCTTTTCTGAAAGTCTCTCTTTTTTAAGATTTAATTATTTATGTTTACAGTACTGGGGTATAGGCCAGAGGTGTGGTAGGTAAGAGTGAGGAGCAAAACAGGCAGAGTGACAAAGTACGCTGAGCAGCAGGTGTGTCTGAAGAGGCCTGCTGTGCCATGTGGGTGAGCTCCCTGGCCGGTAATGGAGCTCAGGCTGCAGTGCCTTCGGAGAGCTTCATAATGTGGTACTTTGACCTGTTGCGCCACCAGGGAGAGCCCGAAAGTGTCTCTTTTTAAACTAATTAAGATTGGCTCTTATGACATGAAGCACAGGAGGAAGATTCATCATACTTGAAACATTTCCAACAGATGCTATCACATATTTAATATTGACTTTGCTTCTAGGAGAATGTTTTCAAAATATTGGTTAACAGACCAACTTATTTACAGAAAGAGCAGAAACTAAACACATTAAATTCTTTTCAAAATGTGAGGGTTCTCTGACTTGAAGAACACTTGTTTTGTATTTGCATGGCTTTTTCCATAATCACTCTGGACACTTCCTCTGGTATCTTGTGAGTCAGGGTTCCTCAGTCCTGCCTTATTCCCTGATTGTAAGATGATAAATTGTAGGTGCTGCATTCTGTATTTTTCCATGCCACCAGGTAATTGCTAATTAGAAGCCATAATATATGCTTCAGTCTCTTTAATTTGCTATGTTGAGGGTACCCTATTTCCTTAGGTTACAAAAACTTGCATATCTGGGAAAATGAAAGATGGTGCTAAAATTTGCATTACAATTTCAGTTTTGCCCAAATCTTGTCAAGTTTCTGATTATCTATAAATAGAACTTTTACATTGTTATTCAATTTATTTTAATAGAAAGATTTAAGAGGAGAATGCTGTATTGCAGCAGAGAAACTAGGAGAGGCTAGGAGATGAGTAAAGGGTCATTTTTTCCTGTTGTGTAGAAAAGCTTAATTAAGCTGGGTTAGAAAACGTGATTTGGGTCTCATTGATTTACTGGGCAGCCACTGTTTGCTTTCTTTCCTTATGAAAGAAACGTCGGTTAAGTTACAGGCACTGAGACAGAGTATGTCTGTTGTATTCCAGAACCTCTTGAGCTTTGCTTTGTTCTGCTCAATTGATTGAGACAAAATGAGTAGAAGGTTAAAGCTGGACTTTTCACTGAGCTTAGAGTTCTTTGCCTTGGGATTATCCTCGCCAGCTTTTCCTGCTGAACTACCAAGAATAAAGTGTGGATGACCCTTTACAGATATTTATTGATGAAATTGTTTTCCAAATGAAGCAGACCAGTGGGTAATCCCCCTGCAATCTGTATGTCTTTAAATGACTTTATAGGTCGGTCTTGTCATCATTTATTTATCATTTATTAATCTTTAGGGAAAATTTATGCATTTATGTATCAATATATGACTTTTTCCCTCAGCACTCTTCCTTGTTAGCTTTTAATAGGAATGTGCAAAGTTTTCCTTCTGTTAATATCAAATATTAGCCCTCTGGGAAAAAGAATAAGAAAGTATTAAATAACAGGCCTTATGTTAATAAGTAGTCTAAACCATTTGTGTTTAGACATGTGCTGATACTATTGCTGTTAACCCCTCACCAAAGTGGTCCGTGTTAACTTGAAGTAAAAAACTAGTTTTATTAAATAAGACTAAAGGCATACACTATTAGTGGTAACTCTGGGCATAGCTTCATTCTTCAACCTTCCATTGGTACCGAGGGAGAAAATGATCTGTTTGAGTTAAGCCCAGCTACTGCGGTGATTAGCAATATGGATGTTAGTTTTATGACTTGCATTGGAGTTTCTAAATTTTAAAATTTTGAGGGATTATTCTCAATCATATACAAGTACTGAGTATGACTAGATGGAAATAACTGTTTTTCAGAATGATGGACACCCGTGTGCTATTGAAATGTAAGTAAGCAACATCAGATGACTAAAGAATCTCCTTTTAAGCTTCTGAGTAGTCAGATGGTAACTGTTTTTTTCTGTATTGTAGGTAAATCTCAGCTGTAAATTGACACTAAAACATCTTAGTGTATGTATGTTGCAGAATGTCACCAAACTGGTCTGGAATTCATTGAGTGAGTGTGGAAAGAGCCTTATTGTTTGAAGGAAATTATTCACTTTGGGGTTTGGTGGCAAAATAGCTTTGTGCCTGCAGGCATTTGGAGGTGGGGATGTCTGGGTAGATTGACTAGTTTTAGTTTGTTTTGCTCAGACTTTGTGTCTGCCTCAGAACTTGACTCCCATCCTAATGTTGGGGAAAGAAGAGACACAAGTAAAACCCAGCTAAGAACTTGACTCCTGCTTCTTATCAGTTTCTTTTTATTGAGATATAATTTACATATGGCATTATATAAGCTTTAAGGCATCAGTGTATTGGCATTTAGATATTGCAATATGATTACTATAACTCTAGCTAACACCTCTATATATAATGTCACGTGATTTTTTTTGGTGCATGGTGAGAACATTTATAATCTAGTCTTTTAGCAACTCTGAAGTTTATGCTACAGAACTATTGATGGGAATCACTATGCTAGGTATTAGTTCTCCAGAACTTATTTTATCTGCAGTTGTAAGTTTGTGCCCTTTAACATCTCCCCAATTCCCACCCTTACTACCCACAAACCCTGGTAGCCACTAAATAGAAATTTTCTTTCCACGAGGTTTTTTTTAGATTCCACGTGTAAGTGACAACATGCAGTGTTTATCTTTCTAACTTATTTCACCAAACATTATGCCTTCAAGGTCTATCCATGTTGCTACAAATGTCAGAACTTCCTTCTTCCTCATGGTTGACTAATATTCCTCGTGTGTGTATGTGTGTGTGCGTGTGTGTGTGTGTGTGTGTGTATCACAATTCTTTATCCACCTACCTGTTGGAGATGTAGGTGGTTTTCATATATTGGCTATTGTGAACATTGCTGCAGCAAACATGGCCATATAGATATTTGTTCAGTATGTCATTTTTATTCTATTGGTTACATGTCAGAAGCAGGGTTGTTGGATGTTATGGTAATTGTATTTTTAATTTTTTGAGTAACAGCCACATTGTTTTTCCACAGTGGCTGTACTAGTTTAATTCCTAATAACAGGATGCAAAGTGTTCCCTTTTCTCCACATCCTTTCCAGAACAGGTTATCTCATATTTTTGGTGATAACCCCCAACCCCTTTTTAAAAAGAGTTACTTATTTATGCATACAGAACTGGAATACAAGCCAGAGGTGGGTGTGTGTGTGTGAGAGAGAGAGGATTCACTAAGACAGAGTGGGGAGCAGAATAGCATATTGACTGAAACACACTGCTGAGAGGAGTAGAGAACGTGTCAGGAGAGGACTGCCACACCATGTGGGTCAGCTCCCTGGCTAGGGAGCAGTGGCTTCGAAGAGTTTCATTGTGCTGTTGTGCCACCAGGGAGAGCCCTGACACCATCCTAACAGGTGTGAAGTGAAACTTCACTGTGGCTTTGATTTGCTGTTCTCTGATGACTAATGATGTTGAACTTAAAAAAAAAAAATCTGTTTGGTATATCTTCTTTGAAAAATGTCTATCCATTTCCTCTGCCCAATTTTCAGTCTTGCCATTTTCCCATGGACTTTACATTACTGTTTCTTATAGTGTGGCTCAGTTAATTTCTGAGATTCTAGCAGCACTACTTGAAATCTCCAGCCATTTCTTAACTTTCCCTGGTTCATTATGAGCTATAGTGCACAGGTAATTTGAAATAATACTTGAAAATGGTTTAAGAACTTCTTATGTTGCTCTACTCAAAATTATTATCTCTCATTGCAGATTGAGATCCCAGAAAATATACGTGTTTTAGGAGAATAAAGGAAATTTGTAAGTACTTACCCTTTAAAAATGCTAAGTTTGTAATTTTTCAGCTTTTGGAGAAAATGAAGTGACCATAACATTAGGAATGTTGACCTTTTATTTTTGTGGAAAAATCCAGCCGGTGTTTGTTTGTATTAAAAAGGCAATATTTGAAAAAGTAAAATAGGAAAAGTTTTACCTTGTGCAACTTCTAAAACCTCTAAACCATCTGGTACTCATTTGTAGTAGGGGAAATGATATTTAAAAGCTCAGTAAAATATTTTTCTTCATATAACAAAAAACAACTCTGGATTAGAGTGCCAGTCCTGACAACTGAGGCTTACGGGCTTTGTCATTGGCAAAGTATCTAACTTTGCCACAATTTCATCATCTATTAAAATGAACCTAGTAGTGAGTAGTCAGTGAATGGTTCATTATTATTGGTGGAGTTAAATCTGTAGTAGTGTATGCTTTACTCCAGTAAATGAAAGCTTGTTCTATTCAGTGTTTCTTATTCTAACTACAGTTTGCTCAGGCAGATTTAAATATATTTTGATCACAAAGTATTAGCACTGTTTTCCATTCAAGATCATAATATGGAAGAAATGAAACATAGCACTTAACATTAGAACAACAGTGTTTTTTGGACCTTTAAAATGACCTAGTGTAGGGTTCCCAAACATTTATTTTTAGAGCAATACTGCCTAGTGAGGTTTTTACTCATCTATGAGGAAAGTAAGGGAAATAGGTCCATGTGTTTTGAAAAACTGAACTTTCTCAATTTAAAGGGTTGCTACTTGTTGTAAATATAAAGCGAGTCCTAATTAAACATGTGCTGTCCCATTTTCCCCTAGAATCCTTTCTTTTTAAAACTTTTACTGGCCTGCTATATCTTATGAATTTAGCTTTCTCATTTTATAGACAAGAGGTTATTTAAATTTGTTTCAGGTCTTACAGCTTAGCAAGCTGCTCAACCAGCACCAAAACCCTGTATATAAGCTGCCTCTCTAGTATTTCTGGTCTTTTGAGAAATGCTTTCATCATAATAGGTTATGAACTTGAGACAGATCACATGGTTCTTATATGCTAATAGCTACTTTTGAATTTGAAATTTAAAAGACTTACTGTTCACATATAGCCAAGTGCTAAAGTCTGCTGAATCGCCTGCACTAGAAACTCCTAAACATGGCCAAAGATTATCATTAGCAGATCAGAATTAGCTGTCTTTGATTTAAACTATTTTGGCAACAGGCTACCCCCCACCCGTGATTGACAAAGGAGGTATGATATCAGTATGGTTAGTAAAACCTTTGAGAAATAGATGATGGTACCATTGTGAGGTTTCTATAGTTTATCCACAGAAAGTTTTGTTTCCTCTGTTTGTCTCTGTCTGTCTCTCTCACACACACACACAAATACAGCAGTTGTTCTACAGCCCATCTCTATGTGGAAGAGAAAGAAGCCTACTGAAGTGAATAGTAAGGAGTTGCTAGAAGCACTAGCGTTAACATCCAACCAATTCCATTCAGTCTGGAATTGGTTTAGAGACTCCTTCAATTGGTGATAGCTGTGCCTTGGCTATCCCAAAGTATACCTCAAAACATAAATACTTAATTTCCGTTTCTTCTTTGCCCCATTCACCTTAGCAAAGCATGCATGGGTCATGTAAACAAATGAACTTGGAACAGAGAGCAGAATGGAAAATACTCCCTAGCTCTAGCATGGAGACATTAACTCCTGGAGTACTTTTCCATGGCTTCTTGTATTTGGCTTCTTGTGACTTCCTTTTTTAGTTAAGAACTCTTTAATTCTGGGCCTCCCTGGTAGTCCTGGGGTTAAGTCGCAGCACTATCACTGCTACGGCCTGAGTTCGATCCCTGCCAGGGATCCCAGCCACATACGGCACAGCCATATCTTGTCTCACCTGCTGCTCCCCTCAGCAGTGTATTTCAGTAGCTCTGTCTCCGGTGAGTCCTCTCATCCCCCCACACCTCTGGCCAACACCTCAGTTCTTAGGCATAAATTAATAAAATAAATCTTAAAAATATTTAATTTCTGAAATGTCAGACACCATGAAATCAGACTGAGAATACATTTTGAATTACCTTCTGTCTTTGGAATATCAGCACCCTCCTCTGTCCTTGTTTGTACTAATATTGAGCAAATACAGGATTTCACTCTTTAACAGAATTACCCATCTTTGAGTTCTCTTAGTAGTTTCACTTATAAGGTATATTTAATATTGAAGAACAGAGGGAGGGAGCTTTTAAAATGTTTTAAAAAGATGTCTATTTTTTTAAAACATTGTCATCATTTAAATACTTTCAACCAATTTTTGTGACCTTTAAATTGCTTGAGACTACATAAATATTGCCCTAAACTCCATTAATTTAGAAAGACTCTTAACCTTTTCCTAACTTCTTCAGTTTAGATTTGTTCTCAGGTAAACTTTAAATCCTTGAAAATGGAAAACTGTCTTGATTTACTTTATATCTTCAATAAAAATATTGTAATTTTCACATAATCTTTTTTTCTAGTTTTATTGAAATAATTGACCTATAATACTGGGTAAGCTTAAGGTATGCATGTGATGTACTGTCTGGATATAAATGATATGTATGGTCAATACTTTGCAACATAACACATTTTTCAAGTCATTATACTGTATAAATATGCAGGTATCTATACGGGTATATATGGATGTGTTTGTGTGTATAGGTATTTATCTTTCACCTCACATCATTAAAACCATGCTACAATTTCATATGATGGCGACTGGGTAGCTGAGTGATACTGATTTATTTGCCCATTTTGTAAGACATGGCTTCCAGACCATTTTGTTGGATACTTTTTAATAGTATGAAGTACTAGGAAGCAACATCAGTATGGAACTAGCTTATTAATCCAACTCCTAGCCCATGTGAAGGGTAGGTTGCATCATAAAAAAGGTACAGTTGCATCTCCCTGTAACACAAGATGTTCCTGTAGAGGTACTATGGCTCACTTTAATATTTTGTTTTTATAGTTGTTGTTGGCAGTCTGCATTGATATTATTGCCTTATTATAATAAGTAGGTAGGATGTCAGGGGATAGATGTGTACTGTCAGATGTAATCTGTATATTCCTCACTCGAATAAAATACATGTATTATTAGTTTATGAAGTTAAGTTCTAAAATATCACTGTGTCCCAGTAGCAAACAAATACCCAGCAAAGGGAAGACTTTATAGATGGAAGTGAGATGTAACAACTTGGTGGGCTGGGCTGTCTAATTTAGCAGAAGGTTTTTTCCTGGGGAGCTGCAGTGAACTCTGCAGCAGCTGTGGCACTCTGAGCGTCCCTTGTTCACTGAGCCCTTTACACTTCTCTGCAAATGCACAACTCTCAGAACTTCGTTTGTCTCCTATTTTCATGTTGTCTAAAAACGTTGGGTTGTGACATCATGCCTTGCCAGCAGGTGTCACTTCTAGTATAAAGATTTAGTCTCAAAATACCTTAAATGTAAGCTTTGGAGATCGCAGTATAGGCAAACTGTAATCTTTAGATTTTAGTCTTTACACTTTAGAAAGCTATATGTTTAAAATTCTTGTTCATTTAAAGTTAGGAATACATACACAGTATACAGTGTATGTGAAGTGTGTAGGCAGCAGCTTTAGTGTCTAGATCTCCTTATTTCAACATATGTAGATAGGATCCCAATTATACGATCTGGTGACCTAGAAAAAAACATTATCTGATGCATGCTGGGGATGCTCTTAAGGCTTTGTGGGAGGGAACTTGCACTAGTGCATGAGAGCATTTTCAACATGGTGGCTGTGATGCTTTCTATGCTGGGCAAAGCTGGGAAGAGACTGGCAGGATGGCGACTTCAGGAGTTAATACAGGTGATGCAGCAGGCAGGTTCAGTTAATCAGGCGTAGCTCTGAGACTGACTTCTAGTCAGAGTAGCTACATCTGTGTGCTATGTCTTGGTATAGGGCATGTATATTCAAACCTAGTGTATTTTTTTTTTTTGCTTTCAGCTTTCAAGTGTATTTATTGTAATAACTGTATATTATGTTTAAGGCTTTATTGTACAAGCTATTTCATATGGGTTTAGATTGGTCTAGCAATTTGAGACAGATGAGACAAGGGTTTCAGGGATAAATGTTTCACATGATTACTCGTGTGGTGAATTGTCTGAAAGTAAAAACGATCCTGCTAGCTACACTTATGTCTTTTGTTTTCTGAAGATAATAACATTTGAAAAGTTTTAACCTTAACTATAAAATTAATCATATTCTAATGTTGCTTGTGTAAAAGTTGATCTAATAACCGAAATGCAAATTTAAAAAACATAGTATTTAAGTTTTTTCCGGTGTGTCAAGATCATGTACAACTTCTTAATAAGTGTGTGAAACAAAATAGGATTTTTAAAAAAGCACTCCACCCTTTCATAAATATCTTGGTGATGTAATATCTACATAGAAATATGATCTTTTGAATTGCAACAAGTATTCATATCTGTTTAACTTCAAATGTTTACAATTCTGATAGAATGTTAAGTGGATGCTACTAATCCTTTTTAGAAGGCACATTATCTGCTTAGTATTTAAATTACCCTTTGGTGATGTGTGAGACTTGAAAATGTGGTTTCTTCAAGTAGCACTTACATAGTCACTGATTTTCAAATTAATGTTGTTTTGCATTTTTATGAATCCTATGTCAATGGCTGGTATAGTGAATCTGCCCTAACTGTGTTTCAACCTGGCAGATAGATGCATGGATACTTGTTTGGTTTAGTTTGTTTTCTAAAACTTTTGTAAAGTGTCTTGTCATAACTGACTTAAAATATTAGTTTTTTTTTTCTTTCTTGAATTAATCTTGTGATATATACTTTTGGGGTAATGATTTCTTCTTAAAATCAGACCTTAATCATTATATAGTATTTGTTTACTTTGTGTAATAGAGCTTAATGCACCACTAATGCTTCTTGTGTTTAACCTAACTACTGCAGAATATATGAAATAACTGGAATGAATGAAATAC